GATTTCTTAGTAGAGTGCGGTTGTTTATCAAGTGACCCACTGTGATAGTTATTTAGTGCCAGCAAAGCACAAGCAGTTAGTTAAGGACCTAGTAATCACAGCATATTAAGAAGACAACATTGGGGTGGCACCCAGCCTATCATTAGGGGTGCATGCACTACAGAGAGCTCCATCAGCGGAGCAGGCTCCCCTTATGGAGTAAATCAAAAGGCTTTTACGTAGATGAATTAGTACTCGCGGGTAGCCTTTGATCCTCGCAGAAAGTCTCCTGCCTCACAGGCCCATCTACAAATAAACTTACCATAGCACATACATGATGTCATGTCTTTTCCTCAGCCTCCACTTTCTACAAAAAGTAACCATTATTACTGATATATTCTCTTTCTTCTTCTTCCCACCAAGCAATGCCAACTGCTTTCTCACTGTTATTGGTTACGCAGTTTAAAATAGCTTCCGCAGATCACGACTCCCATTCAAACAGAAATTACGTGGAAGACACTGAATGTCCTGGCAGCACGGTAGCCTCTCTGCTTGACCCACAAACGGCAACGAAAAAGCGAAACAGGCGGCTAAACGAGGGAAAGTAGAAATAGCTGCCGCACTCATCTAAAAAGCGCAGCCCAGGACCAAATCAGTCTCAAAACTTAGCCGTGAAAGTTCAAAAGCTTAGGGTTTGTCAGGATTGTCTGAAAGATATGCGATCAGACACAAAAGGAATTACGACGGAAGCACATGCCGTCGATACAGGTGGAAAGCGATAGGCAAGCAGTAGGCCAAGCTGTCAGTTTGATAAAGGTCTATTTCACTACTCTCCTGGTTGACTAGTTCACGAGTTACTAGTCGGTTCTAAGCCGGGGTAAAGAGGGAACGTTGGGTGTAGGGTTGCCAACCCCACACCGTAAAACAAATCCAAACGCTGCAGAAACTTCAAAGCACAAACAAAATATAAAACGTAAAAACAAACTTATTCCTCGCTGCAATCGGGGGGACAAAATGACGCCGGTTAGTGAAAGCCTTCAGGAAGCCGGTTGTCCGATGTCTTCTCGCTGTCGATGGGAGCGAAAGTAATGATAGGGACATGGAATGTCCGCACTAGGTTTGAACCTAGCAAGGCAGCCCAGATTCCAAACGAGGTGAGGAGGTATCACAGTGAAGTGCTTGGAATTTGCGAAAGCAGATGGAATGGAAGGGGGACTTTCCAAACTGTCAACTGGAGAACCAATAATCTACTCCGATATTACCACCCAGATGACAACCACGAGCACGCTGAGTTATGGAGTGGCTATCGTGATATCCCCAGGTGCATCGAGGGCTTTCATGCAGTGGGAACCAATCTCCTCCAGGATCATGACAGCAAGGTTCAACTCAAAAGGAATGAAAGTCACAATCATACAATGCTATGCACCTACAAATGAGGCAGATGAAGGGAAAAAGGAGGAGTTATACACACAACTTCAGTCAACACTGGACGAGACCTCAGTTGGAAACATCAAAATTCTAATGGGCTACATGAATGCAAAACTGGGAGTGGACAACGCTGGAAGAGAAGTAACAATGAGTCGAGCACTCGGTGAAATGAACGAGAATGGAAATTGTTTTACAGAATTCTGTGCATTCAACGATCTGGTGATTGGAGGCATCGTGTTCAAGCACGAGGATATCCACAAAGCGACATGGATTTGATTTCACCAGACAAACACTAAAAATCAGATGGACTTCATCTCAGTGCGAAAGAAGTGGAGACGCAGCCTACTTGACACAAGGTCAAGAAGAGGAGAATATGTAGGCTCATACCACTATTTAGTGCAAGGAACCTAACTTCACAATCAGGTTGAAAGCCTTCAATGAAGTTGGTGATAGACCACAGTTCAAGTTCAACACCCGGAAACTAAAGGACGAAAGTACACAGAAGATCTTTACGTCAGCCATCAAGACGAAATGGGAGATATCGAGCCACGTCCCTGGGGAAACCTGTGTGGAAGAACACTGGAACTCTTCGAAAGCCGTGTGGAAAGAAACCTGCGTAACCGTATTAGGAAGGAATGGATCTCGATGGACGCATGGAAGCTGATAGGGGAGAGGAAGATGGTGAAGCAAAAGATAAACCAGTGCAAGGATGAATAATGTGAAGAGGAACTGAGTCCGATGTATAAAACACTGGAAAAAGAAGCGAAGAATAGTGCGCTCAAGGACAAAGGACATTTCCACGACACACTGACAAGTGAAGCAGAACAGGCTGCCGGTGGGAGAGACCTGACAAATAACCAGGTCACTATCTGGGATGGAAGAGAGCAACGCAGATGAAACCAGTGAGAGATGATGAAGGAAATTTGATTACGAAAGAAGCGAAACAGAGGAAACGATGGGCCGACCACTTAAAAAAGCTCTTGAATGGACCATCACCTGCAGCCCAGCCACAGAACTACAAGTGAACACAAGTAATCCAACAAAAGTCGAAGTCCTGAATGCCATACAGCTACTAAAATGAGGGAAAGCAGCAAGACCAAATGGAATCCCGCCAGAAGCACTGAAAACAGACGCAGAGAGAACAGTAGACATTCTCACACCACTATTGCAGAAGGTTTGCAAGGAAGGAAGAGAAGGTACCTGGCGATCGGAAGAAGGGTTACCTTGTCAAACTGCCGAAGAAAGGAGACCTCAGTGTTTGCAAGAACTGGCGCGGAATCACTCTCCTGTCCACCCAGAGCAAGCAAAATATTAGGCCACATCATCCTGGAGAGACTAAAGGATGCACTGGATTCAAAACTCCGACCGGAACGGGCTGGCTTGCTTGAGGAAGTACCAATCATGTGCAGACCAAATTGCAAGGCTTCGCATCATCATGGAGTAGAGCATGGAATGGCAGTCAACTCTACCTCAACTTCATCGACTTTGAAAAGGCCTTCGACAGCATCGACTGACAGGTATTTTGACATCTGCTTCAACACTACGGAATACCACAAACCTTTATCAACCTCATTCAACAACTATATGAAGACACTACATGCCAAGTGATCCAAAATGGGGAGCTCAGTGATACTTTTGAAGTGACGACAGGAGTAAAACAAGGCCGTCTATTATCACCCATGATATTTCTGATTGTGGTGAACTGGATCACGCAGCAAACAGTGAGGAGAGAGATGAGGGGGATAAGCTAGACTGCGGAAAAGATCCTAGAAGATTTGGATTTCGCCAGTGATGACTTGTGTCTAATGTGTTGTCGCAGAAACTCGAAGATGTACAGGTGAAAATTCACAAGTTGACAGAAGAGGCAGGGCGAGGCAACGAAAACGGGACTTAAGTTGAACGTAGAGAAGACAGAGGTTATGAAGATACCCAACCAACAACAACAACAAACTCCAATCACTATCAACGGGAGAAACTTAAAGGAACTAGTCTCTTTCACATATCTCGGCAACACTCTTTCAACTACAGGAGGTACAGACATACAGCAGAACGTCAAAACCAGCCACGATTGGAAAAACAGCAACACAGACCACCCTTCATTAAACTGAAACCATTGTGGAGATCTTATGCACTACAATCAGCATAAACAATTAACAACATCCCGATTTTAAACACCAGTTCAGTCAAGTAAGTCACTGCTTCTGTATGGCTCACAGACTTGGCGCGTTACCAAACACATTTCCAACAAACTACAAACATTCATCAACAACTGCCACCTACGCTGGCTCCTCACTGAACATCAGATGATAAGGCAAGAAAGAATAAGCAACAAGGAACTCTGGCTGGCTGGCTGGCTGGCCGGCAACGAACCAACGAAGCAAGAACCTATCGTCCGACAAATATGCACTGGAGGGAAATGGAGATGGATTTGGTATACACTGAGAAGACCGACTGGAGACGTCACGCGCCAGGCCACGGTCCTCGAGTGGAACCCAGATGGGAGGCGTCGAGTTGGGCGTCCCAGCTGAGGGTGACGTGGAGATCGTGTGAGGAAGAAATGCGGGCTTCTAGGCTTCCGTGGGACCAGGTTCAAAAGTTTTCAGAGAAGAGAGTGCACTGGAGACTTGCCACTGAAGCCCCATGTTCCATCAGGAACCCAAGGGACAAATCATAATAACAATAATACAACACCCTCAAAAGGCTAGGGCAGGAGCTTCTCAAGTGATGTGCCACAACAAACTGACCAGTATCAACACGTAAGTGGCCAAATTCTTAGGCGGCCAGTATCGCAAACTTCATCATTGACTGCCCACTCAGAACCATGCCTACGTCTAACTGACCAAGTAGAATCGTAAGCTGTCAACCTTAGCGTTGAGCTAGTAAAAACGTGGTTGCTACCCACAAGGGATGCGTTCTCAGGACCAGATAGGGTCTGTACACTAGCTTCCCAAGAGAGGGCATCATTTGTGGCCCACACTGTAAGCAAAGTAACTAGGGATTCCTAAATTCAGGGAAGAACTCTAGGGTCTTGGAAGTTGTCACAGTGCCAATCTCCAAAGGTCAGTGAAACAACCAGAAGAATCGCAGTCTGGTAACTCTTTTATGTATGCCTCCCGGTGTGATGGAAAAATCAATTTATGAAAGTACGGGATCACTCTACTTGAATCGAGTTCTTTACGCCTCAACAGCAGATTGGTGCCTTCGGATTGCTGACTTCCTAGCGTAGGAAAAAAGTGGACTAGAATTTCCACCCGTCACTGTGGCAACATGGCAGAACTGCACCAAACTCCATTAGAGACCTGGAGGCGAATGCAAAGAAGTCGACCAGTTGTAAGAAGCCAGTTAAAACAGATTAGGTCCTCGAACTATCAACCACTTGAAGCTATTAAGATGTTGGATGAATTACCACTCTTTTTGCTTCAACAGAATGACATGGGATGAAAAACATAACTTATGGCAAGGACTATAACGAGCTTTGATCTGCTAACTATAATCTTATCTCTGAAGTAAGGAGACTGAATTTGTTTGATTTACTACTGCTCGTTACCATCTGAAGTTGGCGCTAGGCGGCTTTTCAAGTTGTGATATCACATATGGGCGATTCTCTGTTTCACAATTCATCAGCTGCTCCAGATGATGAATACGATTACTTAATAAAACTGCTAGCTCTTGGTATGTTTAGGTGATCATTAGGCTTTTTTTTATTCTTGTTACAACCCCAATTATTTAAAAAATCTGGAATTTAAACATTTCAGATTATGTAGAAGATAAATATGGGACGTCACAAGTTGTTAAAATACCTAAACAGTCATGAAAATTATCTTCAGGGAGATGTATCGAAACAACAGTTTTATATGGTCATGCACTTAACCACTTATTTAGCTTGAATCTTAAGATCGATCCATTGGCATTTTCGAGCGCAACGATACGTTGTCGACAGTAACCCCATAGTTTTTAGTGCTGTTTTTTACCTAAAAATTTCAAAGTGCACCCAGGTCGCTTACCGACTGGGTTAAGGCCAATATTAGTGTAATATTCGTTGGATAAAAGGGAACATTCCCAAAAATTTACTCGAAAGTAAGGCCTTTTTTGCAGAAATCTTAAGGAAATAGATAGTCCTACAGTTAAAAATTATTGAAGCCAATTATTTGCTTCCATGTGTTTGTCGCAGTATGAAGTAAAATTATTCAAGATACAGTCTGAAAGAAGTACATATTTAACGACAGTTTGTCATATTGACTAGTAGTTGGGAGGGTAGTTTTATATCACGGTAGGTTTTCACTCTTCTAATGGATAAACAAGAAAAGACTGGTTAACTGGGGGTAGCTGAAAAATTCGAAGGCCGCTAGTCAAGTTTTGCCTCGATTGTGAAGTCGTCAGGCTTAATAATGCTTGGAAAAGCCATATTCATCAGTTGCCGTGGTGGTGTGTATGGGGGGTTGTTTGTAGACATCTTGGTGTCTGGATGTTTGTCTTGAAGCTTCCATGGACTGTGTTACAATGCTAATGTACTGTTATATATATCTCCATCCCACACTTTTACTCAGTAAAAGACTCTAGGCCTTGAGTAGTATGCAGCAGTAAATAAAATACTTCCAATATCTTATGTTCTGATACTATTCTATCTCAATAAGTTAACCTGTTGAGTTCATTGTGCCCTCTTATATTACAACTCTACTTCTGGTTCTATCACTAGCCATTGTTAAATAAACCTATAGTGATTCAGATCTCTGAATTAAGAACTCATTGTTTTCACTTCTGTTTGAAGAGTGACACTATACCCCATATAGTAAGGAGTATTCTACTTTGACACGCTAGATTTCCTAAATTTCTGTATTTACCGTTTTCTTCCTTTTCGTATAACGTCTTACTCTGCCAAACTAGTTTTATCAAGTGCACTGATCATTTAAGACCTTTGTACGAAGTGTCCTCCAGTCACATCGTTCTAAAATGAATGATTTATTAAACAGTATTGTAGTTATTTTTCTCCAGTGATTTTAAATCCCTATTGAATTCAGACTGCCAGTTTTAGTTTAATTCCATCATTACCTATTTTACTGTTATTAGATGGCTTGAAAATGTTGCGTCAGAGGTAAAGTTGTTGCAATATTGCGTTCTAAAAGTTCCGTACTGTATCTAAAAATATTGTCCTCAGTACAGTAATTGTTACCACATAAAGTCATTGTTTGTAATTCTACTCATCAGTTATATTGAACTAACTTGTTTCAGTAATATTGCCACCCTACGACCAAAGTAGGTCCAGGCTGGAAAAAGACCCGAGGTAGCCAGACTAAAACATGACATCAATGTATGAAGTGTTAGACTGTTGGTTTGAGCCATGTGGGACGATGTAGACTAGGTGGTTGGGGTGGTGTTCGCGGGACAAGAGGAACCAGTGGTTGGAGACTGACTGTAGGTGATCACATGGTTGAGAACGGATGTGAGTGGCACATATGTATCACCACACACATTATCCTCATGTTAACGAGGTTATACCGAATCTCACCATTTTCTCATTCTTCCTTTCTCTTTTTTAGTACTTTACATTTCTTTTGACTGAGTTTTCGTATCTTCATCTTGCACCCCACTGCCTTTTTACTTGATGTACTGATATGAGCTGTGACAACTCGTACCGTTATGCAGTAATGCCTGTTGATGGTGATGATGACCCTACGACCGTTACTTACTGTCCAATCCAGCAAAATACCTTTCCTCATCTTCTAAAAACACTGCTAATTTCAGATTGGAGCTTGCAACATAATTTCACAATGAATCGAATAACGGGGGTCTCTTGCCGGAACTCTGAAATCCCGAGTCGTGGATGTAGTTTCCTAGGCACATACAGGACCCGTGTGAATAGTTGCTTAACCTCACCTGGTCAGTATGATGAGTCTGTAAAACTCCTCTTTCGAATATCCTTAGATCCTGTGGCTAGTTCCTGTGGGCTAGGTGGTGCAGGTATTATACTTAGTTGTGAGGCAGGAAGTTCACTTCAGAAACTTCCCTTCTTAGCTGCCATTCAATAACCACCTTTGTGCTCTGACCAAATGAATCTGTAATAACTAAAGGAGATAGTAACACTTATCAGTGTATATACTTGTTCTCCGCCCATGTCCCTACTGACTACAGTTCGAATGATACAAATGATGAGTTTTATCAAAAGCTGTCACTTTTGCTACATAGTGCAAAACGTTCATAAATAGTATTACTAGTAGGCGAATTAAACTCAGGTAAGGGATTCAGATCAACTGAAGAAGTATCTTGGAAGCATCAACTGTGTTCAATGCTGACGAACGAAAAACGGTGATTACTTCTTACATTTTTGTCCCGATAATAACTTAATTATGGCCAACATTAAGTTCAACTTACATGTGGTAGAAACTCATTGGCTCAATATTTAGACCAACGGATACTCTGTCGACACCAAAAATAAGCAGTAAAATGGGTAATAACAACTGTACATTATAGATTTATATCTGTCCATTTTCCACTATCCTGAGGGGAGTAAAGTATGCTAATTCGGTAGTTATATTAGTTGCCCTCATAACTTTGAAATTCCATTAACCAGGTAGGACTTAGCTTTAAAATGTACCGCAACAAAATCACAGCATCCTGACAACATTGCAATCCTAGTTGCGTCACAGGTAGACAGACAGAATCAACCCTGAACCCCACACAGAAGTGCATCAGTTCAAGTAGCTACACTTTACACTGGTATCCGGAGGCCAAGTGGGTAGAAAAAGAGTGGCATCAAATTAGAAGTTGTGTGAGAGAATAAAAAATTGGAAATAACGGTCGGTGCAAATATTAAAGCTTTAGAATACATCAAAGCGTGAATGCATCTGCAAAGTTACTGATTTTCAGCCATGTCACTAAGAGTCTCCAACCACTGATTCTTATCCTCTAGGTGACCTCAACCAGCTAGGCAGTCTACATCTGCCCACACGTCTCAGACCAACCGTTAGGGACTTCATGCATTGGTGCTGCGTCTTGGTCTAGCCATCCTAAACCCGCTTCTAACCTGATCCAGCTTCCCTTGACATGACACTATGTAGGCATTGGCACAACATGAGCAACATTTCTAAATAGCCTCAGTAGACGAATGTTCACAAGTTCATCACTTGTCAAATGATGCCTTCAGGTCAAGAAATATAACAAGCATCGGCCACCGGTCAAGTACCATCCCAACAAAAATTAAAATTGGAGAATACTTGTAGCTCAGGTGGATGATCTTGTGCTGCAGTCTTTGAGCTCAGTGGTTTGATCGCCATGCTTTCATTGTCTTTCCAGTTAACATCATCAGCACTGACCTCATATTGGGGTTAAGAATTTGTCACTTTCCACGGACTAACCGGTGTATCTAATTCAGTCCTACGGGGGTCAATCATAGCTCGAATAGCTCAGTGATAAGGTCTCTGGCAACAATACTGGATGACGCGGGTTTGCATCTCTCAGAGGATATTAGTACCTTCTAGCATAATCTGAGTTCAGGGCTTCTTGCCGATTGCCTCTGATCATTTAATAAAAGTTAATTTCGTTTGGTTGGTATTTGTTAGGAAGTTTCAATTTTCTTGTTGGTTTTACAGAGATCACACGACTTTGACTGAAACCTGAACATCATTTCACTGTGGGAATGCTCCCTTCGCCACTCATTTATCTTGTGTTTATTTTAATCTCTACCCTTACTTATTTTCTCCTGTGCTTTCTCAGTGAAGTAGATGGTGTGATTTTATGAGACTGAGTTACTTTGCCTTTCTGCATTTCAAGTTATTATCAGGTATATCATGGAATCGAGGTTGCAGCGACTATCCTATAGTCTTCTGCACGTATTGTAGTGGAAATGAGAAATAAGAGATTTAATTTTTCATTTGGCCACTATTCTATATCTGATCCTACTTTCCTTCTTTACTGGTTCTTAGTGTATTGTCTTGTACAAATCTTATCTTGGTGTCCCTATTGCACGTGGACAGAAAAAGCAACAGAATTGGATAGTGATAATTTACTTGGTTGTAGATAGAAAAGGAATTCAGTTGAAGAGTCAAACTGGATTCCTCTACTAGTCACAACCAAGTAAATTATCATAATAAATACCCAGTCAGTATCGAGACATCCGTATAGGAGCCCATATGCCAACAGAAGTCGAACAATTCTTTCCACTATAACGGAGAGTTACAAATATATCAACAAACGGTAAGAATTGCATAGCTTTAAGTTGCCATGTACTAAAGCAGCACGCAGTAAAGTGAACGAATAGAGAATGGTATGTCCAGGTAGACAAGATTGTATGAACAGAGGGTAAAACCGGTACTCTTTCCGTTCATTGACCGCTAAAATCAATGTAGAACCTCGCATATAAGCTCATTGGCTCAAGTTGCTACACATCATAGTAGTACACAAATAACAGATGGATAGAAAAAAAAGTGATATCAAAGTAGACAAAGTATTATGAGAGTAAACATTTTGAAGATAAAGGTTATTGCAGATTCAAAAAAAACGCACGCAATCACCTCGTTCACATTTGTGCAATAGACAATGAGCCACACCTATTGTGTGACGGCTAGTGATACTACCTTGTCGCTCAAACCTCGGTAGGTGGAGCGGGGCTCGAACCCGTGATCTAATAGTCATCTCCCTAAACCACTGATCTGCAGCTATAGGTCTAGGTTGGGAGAGAGTTTAGGGTGGCCAGACCAAGACATGGCATCAGTCGATAAAGTCTCTTACTGTTGGCTGGAGGCGTGCGGTGAGATGTAGACTGCCTGGTTGGGGTCCACAAGACGAAATGAATCAGTGAATGAGTACTCTGAGTGACGTGTCTGAAAATGGGTCACAATGTCGTGGATGTATTCACTCCTTGATGTTTTCTAAAGCTTGAATATTCATACTTACCTCTATCTTCGAATTGTTTATTCTCTCACACTAATTTATCTACTTTGATATTACTCTTTTTCAATCCATTTGCTCTTTGTATACTACTGGGAAGTGCGGCAACTTAAGCCAGTGCACCTGTGTGGTAAGTTTTACGTTGGTTTTGTCAGTCATCCAGCCAGTACAAATATCCAAGCTTTATAAGATGTCAAAGAGTGAATACATCTGTGACATTGTGACAGGTTTTCAGCAATGTCACCAGACGTCCTCAACCACCGATTCCTTTCGTCACGTGGACCTTACCAGCTAGGTGGTATACATCTCCCCACACTACTCGAATCAACAGTCAGGAACTTCATGCACTGGTCTGGCTAACCTGAACCGTCTTCCAACCTTTCCAATGCCCCCTAGTGTGGTTCGTTGAGGTAGGTAGTGGCCGGGCATGTGCAATATATGTCTAAGCCATCTTAGTGGACGCATCCTGGTATATAGGTTAACACTAGTCTGTGAAACACATTATGTGAAAACTTATGATACTACCTTGGAAGTAATTTATCCGGGATTTGGTCTCAAGACTGATTGCTTAATAATCTACCGCTGAAAACAATGGAGCACAGCGTATAAATAAATGACTAATTGAGTCATCGACTCCTATTATCTTAAGGAGTCCAGGTAGCCTAAACGGCTTAGACCATTAGCTTAGAGGCTTTATGAATTAGCGTGATGTGGCCTCCCTTAGCTTTCTTTAGAACCAATATTATTTCAGCTAACGTTATTTCATTGTAGCATTGTTTTCGTTTCAGTCAATATAATAGGTAACTGAAAACTTAGATGAAAGGCGTAAAAAGTTGGGATGAGTTAACTGTTAGTGATCACTAATTGAAGGCCAAGTTCTGCAGCTTTTATCTAAGTTATATTATTTATTGAAACCTTGGGAAAAATTACTGTACATCTTTATTCCCTTCTATTTGGTTGTTTTTATCTCTTATGAATTCCAATGATCACTGGTATTTCGGTTTCCTAGGCCTTCCTCGTCTTCCATGGTTCATCAGACGTTATTGATCATGAGAACGGCTTCTGATTAGGTGCAGATGCATGAAAACGGTGTACACAGCAAGCCATGCACTTTTACTGATGGAGAAGGCCTCAAAGTCCCGGATATCTACCTTCTTAGCAGGGACGGTAATGAATCTTAAACCTAGAATATCCCACTAAGACTAGTCGCATCTCACTCTCATCACTCTAATAATATCAACCCTCCTCCCACTGTGGCTAGGGACTTTTATCTCCTTATCTGCTGCGGAAATCCCCCTTCTCTTTCCTGATGTCTTTTGGCGAAGTGGAATGATAATCATCTGTCTTCTCCTACTTTAACTTCTGTTTATCTATCTGTTTCTATATATTTCTTCGTAGGATAGGGTATGATGATATTTTCTGGCTGCTCAAACAGAGTTCGAATTCGAAACTTCTATCTTTTGATATGCGAATCTGTAGATTATTTTATAATCTCTACATTGAGTATCTACTTATTTCACCTGATCTATGAATTGTGTAGTCAGAAGTTGTCGCTGATTTCGCAGTATGTTCATTCTTAGATATTCTGCGAAGAAACGGTTTGTAGTCTAATGTATGACTGAAGCATAAAAACATCCGAAATTAAAATAAACTTCATCATTTTTCGTGCTTTTCTTCAAATTTGATGTAAACAATATTTTTGGTTCAAGTAATATGATATTTATCAAACATTCGGTTACTTTAATGAATTTAAACTAATCGAGAATCTCGTAACGTGTAATGGATCCATTATATTCCACATGGAGTAATGCAGGCTATATTTCAAGGGACAAATGTGGATAATTAAAAACATAGGTCACGCCTCTTCTACAAATGTTTAGTGACATTAATTGGGTGTCCAAATGTTAGTAGTTAGACTATGGCTGAGAACTGTAACCTGTTAGTTGAAAATGAACTTCGTAGACCAATTCACTACTGCTTCACTGCTGAGTTATTCTTAATATGGTTGGAACTTTGAACCTTTATGGATTTAAATACTGGTTAATTTATGGTGTTACTTGTATTATCCTGTTGTTGGTTGAACCTAATTGACCGGTCTGTATTAGCATATGGATGCCTCAATATTACCTGTCATTATAATGTTAGAGTAATGATGGATGGTGGCTAGCAATGTAATCCAGTACACACGTTTCATCTTAATTAGGACTCGTCGGCTGAATGTACCTACCTCTCAGTGAGTCATGTTTTTCCCAATAAGACTGGAACTCTACCAGTCGCTTCAAACGTGACTTGGTGACCTAATGGATACCGCTCTAGAGTTTGAAATGACCGGTCTCGAGTTCGAAGGAAAAAACTCTTACTGAGAGGGAGGTACTTTCACCTGAGTAGTCCGGAACAGGATGGAACGCGTGTCCTAGATTCCACCTCTGCCTACTATCCATCATTACCGTAACTACTTAGTTTTCTTAAGGGTCTACAGTCAGGCAATATCACTGGCCGTCACACAATAGACGTAACTGAGTTAAAAGATATTGAGTAGATACGAAAGATGATTCTCAGTTGTGTTCGGGCTACATTTCTATTCAATTGGGTATAGCAAAGTATGTACCTTTCAGTCTCGAAAAAGGTATCGGAATGCACTAAGCAACCACATTCACACTGATGCAGCAGGCAATGAAGAACACCTATTATGTGAAGATTAATGGTACTTCCTAGTTGTTCAAACCTCGTTAGATGGGGGCAGTCTTCGAACTCGTGATGTGTATCAGTTGAAAGTCAACCTCGTAAATCAGTGATCCATAGTTTCATATACCCGTCAGTCTGGTATATACATCTATGTGTTATGCATAAGTTAATAAACAAATTCACTATAACCTGTAAATGAAGCTAAATATGTAGTAAATTGAAGAGTTTTTAACTTTGTATTTTTAATCATTTCTAACAGGTGATAGCAATGTTGGAAAGACAAGTTTATTGTATCAATATACTGATAATATTTTTAATCCAAGATTTACAACAACTGTTGGTGTAGATTTTCGTCAGAAAAGATTAGTTCGAGAAAGTCGTGATTCTGAAGGTCTATTAGGACCAAAACAACGTTTACATTTACAACTATGGGATACAGCAGGACAAGAACGGTAATTATATTTCATTATTTCACTCATCGTCTAGAAATATATTGCTTTATATAAGGATGAAATTTGTATTTAACTGATTTGCTACTACTTCACATTACTTATATATCACCAGAGACGAATCAATTTGGTCCAACCAACGACAGGACAATACAAGTAACACCATAAAAACTATATATACCACTCGGTGGCCTGGCGTTTGAAGTAGTCGGTCCAGGGTTATAATATTGTTAGTAAAGACAGACAACTTACCGATCAATATGGGATTGTGGCTCATTCGTCTGGTCATTGAGTCGTAGGTCCGAAACCCAGTGGTACCTATCACCAACCCTCATAGAACAGTTGTGGCTCATTACCAAGCGCATTAATATGCATATATTTCCTGGGTTGTGTTTTGTCTATGAATATCAGTAAAGTGAATTCACTTCATATTGTTTTGTGGTTGTAAACAACAGGTTAACTGAGTTGTGAAATGGGTTTTTTTTACCAATAAAATATTGATGTGAACAACTTTACGGCAATAATCATAAAAGTATTCTTGAAACGTGCTTCCCCTAGAGTTGACTTTCATGGGTTTAAGTACTACTCCACCTACTGAGGTACGCATAGCTGAGTTGTATCATTGACCCTTATTGCGTAATGCATGAATGTGCACAAGACTGCTGAGGGGGTTTCAATTTCTCGTACAACTATTTCACGTAAATTCTACATACAGTAAATATTAAGGTTAAACATAATATTACCAGTCGACACTTTAGACTTTTGTTATGATTACTTTCACTTTAACGGTTAGGGGGTTACAATAACACTTGATCGACAAAATTGATTGTTCTATTATTGTAGTTATCGAAGCTTGTGTACTGTGTTCTTACGTGATGCAATGGGATTTCTACTTGTCTTCGATTTGACCAATGAAAATAGTCTACAAAATTGTCGTGAATGGATGAATTTATTATGTCAACATGCTTATTGTGATCGTCCAGATGTAGTTCTAGTTGGAAATAAATTCGATCTCACATCTGAACGTCAAGTATCCATGTCTGCCGCAAATGCAATGGCTCGTGAACTAGAGTAAGTTTATTTTTCAACACGGATATTCTTCTCTCCTTCTCATGTTTACTTGTAACCTACCGTATTGTTGCACAAATTAGGTTTAAGTATATAACACTGTTGTCTGGACCGATAGATCAACGTAGGACTCTGTCGATCATAAGGTTTTCTGGAAGTGTCTGACTGTGAAAGGATGACTGAGCAAGCATGGGAAGCTAATCAGCAGCAGGGATATCCACTGTTACTGTTCTTATCCTACTTCGTTATAAACATACTGATGAACAGGAATTGATCTACTGCTTGGAGATCATCTGGTTGACTTGGAGTATGCAGACGATATTGTCATGGTGAGTGAAGACGCTGACAAAATGCAGGACCTTCTGAAGGCGTTGAGCGGAAATCTTTGTTTGGGGTGCATTTTACTATCACCTCCCAAATGTAAGTTGATACTCGAGGACTGATCTGCAGTTACTACCAGTTTAAGGATAGGGAGTGAAGTGGTTGAGTATGTCGATCACTTCACTTACTTGGGGTGTTGCATCAGCTCCAACGAGCTGGTTGCTGACGAAATCTCATCTCGGATACAGAAGACCTGTTTTGAATTCACCAACTGGCGTCATCTGTGGCACCGACTGGCTAAATACTCATAGGACGACTATACTGTGCTGCGCTGCAGTCCGTTCTATCCTCTAATGCGACCGTAAGATATCGCCGTTAAAAGTAGAAGGTACAAAGCAATTACAAGTTTTTGATCACGGATGTCTTCGTGGTATCTTGGTCGTCTGTGATGGAATCACCGTGGAAGAAATGTTGAAATCAGGTGAAGGGTACTAGAGAATGAGGGCAAGTCGACTGACGATGCTTTGAACCTTAGTCAACTAAGGTAGCTTTGACATGTACTGCCACATGTTGAGTTACTGCCTACCTCGATGTGCTATACTATACTAGAGGAAGTTGGATTACGTTAAAACAGGGTTCAGAGTGACCAGACCAAGACATAGGAACAGCTCATGAAGTGCAGAGAGATGTAAACTGCCTGTCCTCGCGATGATAGAAATCACTGGTTGTTAAGTTTTAATGACAAGGCTGAAAATCGATCACAATATCACCTTTTGATAATTAGATATATTGAATGACTAAACAGTCAAATATATTTTCAACTACTTATACACTTATATGTGATAACAAAATAAACAACGCTAAGAGTATCTTATTGGCAGGACAATTTTTAAATGTGATAATCTAATGTGAGTTGTGAAGATCTGTGTAGATATTTAACTTAAATAACATTGATCATACCAGATTTCGTGTTTGTTCTGGTTAAACATGTTCATAAATCAACTTCTTGTTTGGCTAATATGTTATTATTTGTAATATAGAAAAAGTAATATATATATATATATATATATATATATATATATATATATATATATATATATATATATATATATATATATATATATACATATATATATATATATACACAATACAATAAGTTTTGTTGCTTGAAATGGCGTTCCGGTTATCTGATTATCTCAGTGATTGAAATGATGAATTCCAGTTATTGTCCAATGCTGTATATTTGTGGAATAAAAAAAATTGTTCAATTATGGCGTCGCCGTGATATCCGTGTACTGCACAGCAGTCTGGTCTGTTCTACTGTATGGCTGTAAAACATGGCCATTGAAAGTGGAAGATATAAGAAGGCTTCAGATGTTTAACCACCATCGCCTTCGTAGTAGTATAGGACGTATTCTGTGGTGTCACCAGGTGAGTAATGCGGAAGTTAGGTGTACAGTTTAAGGGAGGGAATTTAGGTAAATCAGTAGACGAGGTTATAAACTTTCATCGATTGAGATGGTTGGGACACGTACTACGTATACCCAGTCACCGATTGCCTCTTCACACAATGTTGGTCGAAGTAGGTGGAAGCTGGAAGAAGGCCTGAGGTGGCCAGACTAAAACATGGCACCAATGTGTGAAGTGTTTGACTGTTGGTTTGAGGTATGTGAGGCGATGCAGACTAGGTGGTTGGAGTGGGGTGGTGTCCGTGAGACAAGAGGAACCAACAGTGGTTGTAGACTGACTGTAGGTGATCACATGGTTGAGAACGGATGTGAGTGGCACATATGTATCCCCACACACATTATCGTCATGTTAACGACACTATATCGAATCTCACCATTTTCTCATTCTTGCTTTCTCTCTTTCTTCTCATACTTTATATTTGTTTCGACTGAATAGTCTTATCTTCATCCTTCACCTCACAACCTTTCTACTTGATGTGCTGTACTGAGTTGTGATGGCAACTCGGACTGTTATGCAGTAATACCTGTTCCTATGTTGATATTGATGATGATGATGATGATGATGATACTTTGGAGACACTGATGAAAAGACTTCCATCATACACAGGGGATGGCAAAGACTGTGCCTGCATCCATCAATCATACATAAGAATGGACAGTTCAAAATACTGTTAAGTATAAATGAGTCGATGAAAGTGTATACTGTCAGACACTTATTATCAAAAGATTGTCAATGGAGTACTTGACTGTACCGTGTTAATGGATCCACGTGGTTATAATTTCAGTATTTAACAATAATCGATATTGTGCAACATGGTGATTGGCATCATCTCAGATTATCACATCACTGTTATCTACTTCTGTTTTCGTTAGTTTAGTATGTGTCGCGCATCCTGGATCACCATTCACCTTAACGATTAATATTAACTGGAGTAAAATTAGTTTGGAAGAAAACCAAAGGTGGTCAGAGCAGAGAATGTGACACCTATTCATACAATTTCTGACTGTCGGTATGAACCATACAAAAAGTTTTTAGGGTTAGGGTTGCGGAGACACGGTGGTGTGGTTCAAAGTAGATCACAAGCCTACTGATTTATTCATTCTTTATCAATATTTTCAGTTTCATGTGTCTTCTCTTTCGTCTCGTATATTTTACCTACTTTAATAACATTATTTTCACATTCACTTGCCTCCTCTGTGTATTTCTGTGTAGTGTAGCCGGTTGGAAAGATACAGTTCATTGCAAGGCTTTGCGTTGATTTATCTCTGCTTCTCCTGTAAAACACGTACATAGACGCTAATTGATTACTTAGTTCAAGAGTGCTAAGCATATGTTGATGATAAGGAGTGAAGGGGTGGGAATGTGTCGACCACTCCACTTGCTTGGGGAGTTGCATCAGACCGAACGGGCTAGTTCCTGATGAGATTGCAGCTGGAATACAGAAGACCCGTTCAGCACTTACCAACTTGCGTCATCTATGGCGCCGGCTGGCGACATATCCAACTATCTGTCAAGTGACGACCGTACTGCAGTGCGTTCCATCCTGTTGTATGACTGTGAGACACGATGTTAAAAGTGAAAGATTTGAAGCGGTTACAAGTGTCTTTGTCGGACTGATCGCCTATGGTTGAATCACCATATGAGCTATGTAGAGTTAGGTCGAAGCGTTCTAGGCAGGGAAGGTAAGTTAGTCGATGAGGTTTTGAACATTTATCTATTGAAATGGTTTGGACACGTACTACATATGCCGACTCACTGTCTACCTCAGTATGCCATACTAGAAGAAGTTGGATCAGGTTACAAGATGATTTAGGGTGGCCAGATTAAGACGTGGTACCAGTGCATGAATTCCCTGACTGTGAATCTGGGCCTATACTAGGTGTAAACTGCCTGGCTGACTGGGTTATCTGAGAGGGTAGAAATGAGTGGTTGTTGAGTTTTAGTGACACAACTGGAAATCGGTCACACTGGTGCAGATGTATTCACTCTGATGTCTTCTAAAGCTTGAATATTCGCTCTAACATTAATCTTCAAATTGCTTGTTCTTTCACAACTTTACCTTCTTTGGTAGTATCAATCTTTTTCTATCCATTTGTTCTCTGTATATCACTGAAGTGAGGTGATGCACTTGTATGCGAGGTTTTAAGTTGACTTTGTCTGTCTCCAGAGAAAGGGCGAAAACTTGATAGACCATGTACAAGTTGTGAAGATACCGTGATATGACTATAGACAGTAAATTGTTTTCTAAATGTTATCTGGTAAATAATATGGTCTCATAAGAAATTGATGAAATCATTTGGAAAACGATTGAAAATCTATCAGCAGTGTACAGTTATTTTCCGGTAGTTTGGAACTTAGAAGTGTAAACCCTTAACTGTGCGATAAGGGATCAGTTCCAGGTCTGTAACGTCTCATAACAAGTGTGCTACCATTGAATGACTGTTCGTTGCTCATTAGTAACATACTTAGGGATGGATTTCTCAAAGTTTTCCATTGAGAAGCTTCAAAGTTTGTGTGTGTGTGGGGGGGGGGAGGTGGGGGGTCAGTCAGTGACAATAGATGATAATCTCATTAGATCACAAATCGATAGAATATGGAAGAAATGAAGCAGTAAAGTGCAGCACAGTAGTTGAATGTCAAAATGCTCACCACAAAACCTGATACTTGTGGGTTGTATCGTGAATGATATTTTGAACATATACTACATAGATGTCACAATGTAGGATGAAACAGCTTTCCATTGCTTCAATGTGTTCGGTGTTTCTGCAGCTGAAACCAATCTATGAGAATAATTATTTTCACATCATTCAATCAACTGCAAATTTCAGTTATGTAGCGTGTTAACATCATCATGATCAACATAGGACCAGGTATTACTACTGCCTGATGGTCTAAGCTGCCGCACCTTATATCAGCACATCAAGTAACAAGGCAATAAAGTGGAAGGTGAAAAAAGAAAAATCGGTCAAAGGAAGTAGAAGTAGAGAGTAGTAAAAGAGAAGAAGGAAGAATGAAGAGATGATGAGATTAAGTATAGCGGTTAAGATGAGAATAATGTGTGTATGCATCTGCACCATTGACATCGGTTCTAAGCCATATCATTTAAAGTCTCCAACCACTGGTTTCTCTTGTCCTGTGGACCGCAACTGGCTAGTCTGCACCGGCCTACATGGCTCAAACTAACAGAGACTTCATACATTGATACCATGTCTTAGTCTGACCATCACGAGCCTTTCTCCAGCCTGACCCTACTTCGGCTAACAATATGCGACAAGGCAGATAGTGGCTAGGCATACGTAACACATGTCCCAGCCATTTCACCCGATGAAGGTTCGCAACCAGATCATCTGTCTTACCTCTCTTCCATAAAGTTCTACGTCTGGCTTCTGTGTTACTCACGTGGTGACACCATGAAGCAGGACCTGTATCACGAAGGCAATGGTGGTCAAACACCTGCAGCCTTCCTATATCTTCTATCTTTCCTGGTCACGGTAATATAGCCTCAACACTAAATGGAGTAATGTTTAAGCTAGTTTATATTGGGAACGGTGACTTTCCTAATTATCTTTAATCTCATTTATAAATGTTATATTCAAATCGTGTTTTTTCCTCTTCCATCTAGTATACCATATATAGAGACAAGTGCAGCAACTGGTTATCAAGTCACAGCTGCAGTGGATCGTCTTCTAGATCTGGTCATGACCAGAATCGAGGCATCAGTAACAAAAGCACGTATACACGGGAATACGGAAGGTACAGCTAATTTGAAAAAGTCTACATCTTCCAAATCGAATTGTGCTTGTTAGTATTATATCTTTGCGTTCTTCGCCGCCGCCGCCGTCGCCGCCTTCACTACAACTGTTCCCACTATCATCACCTCTTTCTCCTGCTTGTCTTGTGTCTCTGTATGTCAAGTAAGTGAAACTGGTTTATAATAATAATCAATCAACAAATGGAAACAATGAATAATAATTTATGAAGCGTGTTAGCATTGAATACAGAAAATGTTTTGAATCCTTCAGACGATTTGTATAACTTGAAAAAGATAGAATTCATGGAACTGGTGAACTGAATAAACTTTTTTACTACTTATCATTAACTTATTCTCTGTATGAATTGAAGATAATCTCAGTCACACAGTCACACAATGACTCAATAACCTTCTTGACTATAAACCAATTAGTCAAGCTTTTCTAATTCCACCTAACTGCAATACAGAGAGAACATTAAAATTCTAAATGGGAGAGTGTATTTAATGAGTATTATACTAAGTGGGATAATGATAATAATGAGTTACCTTGTTCTTTTGATTCCTAGCTCACTCACTCGACTGATTCCCTCATTTCTATCAATACGAGTAAAGAAAATTGATCATTGAAGACGTAATACTTGATGAATTTAACTATGATCATGTATTTCTGTGGACCAATACAGTAAGTACCCCCCTATCACACCTGAACTAACAAGTGTCAGTTCGAGGAAATGAGGTGAACCCTAGCTCACCGAAGGATTTCAAGGTACTACAACCACTTTTCACGTATTGCAAAACTTAAAAAACAAACTTATATACGCTAACAAGAAATGATTAGATGAAGATTTGTGATTAGATACCTTGTTACCCCAGATATAAAGGTATTTTGTGAAGCTGTCGAGACGTTACTGATCCACTCTCTCGTTTCGACTCCCAGACTGCGTTGCCTACTCGTTATGAATTATTACCATTCATCAATTATCTTTATCTACTAAGTATTGCGTATACTGCACAGCAGTCTGGTCTGTTCTACTGTATGGCTGTGAAACATGGCCATTGAAAGTGGAAGATATAAGAAGGCTCCAAGTGTTTGACCACCATCGCCTTCGTAGTATAGGACGTATTCTGTGGGGGGGGGGAGGGGGGTTAGCTAAATCAGTTGACTAGGTTATAAACCTTCATCGATTGAGATGGTTGGGACACGTATTACGTGTGCCCAATCACCGATTGCCTCTTCACACAATGTTGGTCGAAGTAGGTGGAAGCTGGAAGAAGGCCTGAGGTGGCCAGACTAAAACATGGGACCAATGTATGAAGTGTTTGACTGTTGGATTGAGGTATGTGAGGCAATGCAGACTAGGTGGTTGGAGTGGGGTGGTGTCCATGGGACAAGAGGAACCAACAGTTGTTGTAGACTGACTGTAGGTGATCACATGGTTGAGAACGGATGTCAGTGACACAGATGTATCCCCACACACATTATCGTCATGTTAACGACACTATATCGAATCTCACCATTTTCTCATTCTTGCTTTCTCTCTTTCTTCTCGTACTTTATATTTGTTTCGACTGAATAGTCTTATCTTCATCCTTCACCTCACAACCTTTCTACTTGATGTGCTGTACTGAGTTGTGATGGCAACTCGGACTGTTATGCAGTAATACCTGTTCCTATGTTGATATTGATTGATTGATTGTTTTTATTCCTTTTGTGTTCATTTCTGCTTGTTACTATTGTGTTATTGTGATCATTGTTGTTAACAGCTACCTGTATATGGTTTGTTCACTAAATTATAAACAACTATATGCTGGTCGAATTCTATCAATCATTTTTGTAATACGGCGGCCACCAGGCTGCGTAACTCACTGTTGTGATGCAAATATCCTTTTTCTAGGCGATTGCTGAAAAGCATGAAACTTAGGTCCTACTGATTACCTCCATCCAGCTAAGACAACTTCTCGTCTTATGTGTCACCTAATCTTCCTTAATGGTCTTTATCTTTACTAAACAAATTTATTATTATTATTATAGTTTGTCCCTTTGGTTCCTAGTAGAATATAGGGCTTCAGAAGCACGTCCCCATTCCACTCTATTCTCTGCAATCATTTGAACCTGGCTCCACGACAGCCCACAAGCTTTCATTTCTTCCTCACATGACCTCCTCCATGTCAGCCTCAGTTGGGACGCCCAGCTCATCGTTTCCCATCTGGGTTCCACTCGAGGGCGTGGCCTGGCGCGTGACGTCCTCAGTCGGTCTTCTCAGTGTATGCCCAATCCATCTCCATTTCCTTCCAGTGCATATTTGTTAGGCGATGGGTTCTTGGTTCGTTGCCGGCCGGCCGGTCAGCCAGAGTTCCTTGTTGCTTATTCCTTCTTGCCTTATCATCTGGTCTTCAGTGAGGAGCCAGCGTAGGTGGCAGTTGTTGATGAATGTTTGTAGTTTGTTGGAAATGTGTTTGGTAACGCGCCAAGTCTGTGAGCCATACAGAAGCAGTGACTTACTTGACTGAACTGGTGTTTAAAATCGGGATGTTGTTAATTGTTTATGCTGATTGTAGTGCATAAGATCTCCACAGTGGTTTCAGTTTAATGAAGGATGGTCTATGTTGCTGTTTTTCCAATCATGGCTGGCTTTGACGTTCTCGTGTGTGTCTGTACCGCCTGTAGTTGAAAGAGTGTTGCCGAGATATGTGAAAGAGACTAGTTCCTTTAAGTTTCTCCCGTTGATAGTGATTGGAGGTTGTTGTTGTGGGTGGTGGTTGTTGTTGGTTGAGTATCTTCATCGCCTGTCTTCTCTACGTTTTATTTAAGTCCCGTTTTCGTTGCCTTGCCCTGCCCTGCCTCTTCTGTCAACTTGTTAGCTTTCACCTGTAGATCTTCAAGTTTTTGTGACATTAGACACTGATCGTTGGCGAAATTCAAATCTTGTAGAATCTTTTCCCCGGTCCAGCCAGCTTATCTCCCCTCTTCTCGCTCCTCACAGTTTGTTGTATGATCCAGTCGCTTATCGTCTCTCTGAGCTAAGATCATATGTTTTACCTGTGACATTGAATACATCATTTATATAGTTTTCATGAACAGATCAATTCACTAGATCAGTAGTTAAATAACGCATTTTGATTGATCAACTGTAGGACAAAATTGTCCAATAAGCTTTTTCTTGACCATACAGTGACATGAAACAAAAATTGAAGTGTAAAACTTAGCAGTTGATGATTTAAAATGTTGATTTCTATCTAATCCACTTTGTATCGTCAATCAACAATGCTGGTAAGAGCATATATAATGTGTTCATCTACATTGAATGCCCCTCCCTCTCATTTCCGAAATACTAAAAAGAAGGTACCTAATAATATTTTCATTTGCTTTAAAAACATTCATTCTGTGTCAAATCGAATGGAATTTATGTTGAAACTGTAACATAAACACAATAGAAATATATATGTGATCGTATATTTTTCACTAATGTGTACCGAATTAAACTTGCATTGTTTGTGTACAACTTCTGGTTTGTGTTTTTGTAATGTACTGAATACTGAAAACCTGGGAGCACTGAACATCTGTTTCGTCATGGTGTGAGACTCTTCAGCAGTGCATACGCATGACCTCGCCAGTGATTAACCTCAGGACCGCCGGGTGCCGTGGCCAGTATGTTACCATTGAGCCACTGGGTCGAAATCCAATGGTAAATATTTCTAACTCATGTCAGTCCATGGTGAATATCAACCTTTGTATACTGACTGTTCGCCTGTAATGGAATTATCCTGTGAACAATGTTAAGGCCTGGCGGAAGGCACTAGACTAGACAGAGAAGTCGATTAATCAAGTTATGAACCTTCGTCCACTGAGGTGGCTTAAACGTGTTTCGCCTATGTCATTGCCTACTTGGACGTGTCACGCTACGGGAAGTTGGACCAGGATAGAAGAAGGTTTTAGTATGAGGAGACCAAGATGTGACATCAGTCGATGAAGTTTCTGACTGTTGTTCTGAGCCGTGTGGAAAGATATTGACTGCGTGATTGGTTGCCTGGGTTCCACGAGAGGATAGGAATGAGTAGTTGGAGGACTCTTAGTGATATGGGTGAAAGTCGGTGACAATGCCGCAGATGTATTCACTCCTTGATGTCTTGTGAAGCTTGAGTATTCGCAGTAACCGCTACCTTCAGATTACTTATTCTCTCATACAACTCTTTCTACTTTGATGTCACTTATTGTATACTACTGTGAAGTGTAAGGTTCTATGTTGACTCTCTCTCTTTGTATCTGTTTGACAGGTGGTGGTGATGTTTTCTAATGAGGTGTACAAAAATTTGTAGCGAAAGTTATTTTAGCGGATAAAAGTTGAATTGTTTCACTCAAGTTAACTGAATATTTTGCATCTTAGCTGTTTCTGTAGTGTTGTTCACTTGTTATTTTCACACTGGATCAACTATCATTCATTCAACGAATCAAGTTGTCTTGTTGCATTGTGAACTTGTTTTACATTGTAATGTTAGAAAGATTCAACTTATAGACTCCCTACTAAAAGTGTTCAGAGTACGGTAAGTCTGCTATTGTTTGCTTTAGTCTCTCTCTATTGGAAATTTCAATCAATATCAACATAGGAACAGGCATTACTGCTCAACGGTACGAGTTGCCATCACACCTCTCATATCAGTACATCAAGTAGAAAGGTTGTGAGGTGAAGGATGAAGATAAGACTATTCAGTCGAAACAAATATAAAGTATGAGAAGAAATAGAGAAAGCAAGAATGAGAAAATGGTGAGATTCGATATAGTGTCGTTAACATGAGGATAATGTGTGTGGGGATACATCTGTGTCACTGACATCCGTTCTCAACCATGTGATCACCTACAGTCAGTCTCCAACCACTGTTGGTTCCTCTTGTCCCACGGACACTACCCCAAACACCTAGTCTGCATCGCCGCAGATGGCTCAAACCAACATTCAGAGACTTCATACATTGATGCCGTGTTTAAGTTTGGTCGCCTTGGGCCTTTTTCCAGTCTGGACCCACTCCGACCAATATTGTGTGAAGAGGCAATCGGTGACT